TAGTGCATGCCTGTAATCCTAGCACTCAGAAGGCTGAGACAGAAGGATCGCTGTAACTTTGAGGCCAGCCTGGGCTACATAGTGAGCCCAAGGTCAACCTGAACTGCATAGTGAGACCCTATCTCAGAAAGACAAAAGAAGAAGAAGAAGGAGGAGGAGGGGAAGGAGGAGGAGGAGAACAACAACTATATGAAAAAAATGTTCAACATCTTCAGTCTTCATGGAAATGTGAGCAAAGCGACGCTGATATTCCATCTTACCCCAGGCAGAATAGCAATCAGGGAAAGTGCAAAAAATACTGGTGAAAATGAAAAGGAAAAAGGAAACTTCCGATCTGCTGGTGGGAATGAAAATTAGTACAACCACTGTGAAAATGAACATGAAGATCCCCAGATAAAAGTCCAAACAGATCCACCATTTGATCCAGCAATCCCACTCCTGGGCATATCCCCAGGAGACCCAGAGTCAGCAACCTGCAGTGACACACGCACACCCACGTTTCCAGAGGTGTGGTCACAAGAGCTAAGCTGTGGAAACAGCCTAGGGGCCCATCAGCAGGTGAGCAGATAGCGACAGTGTAGTATGTGTACACCACAGAATGTTATGCAGCTACAGAAAAGAGTGAAATCATGTCATTTGCCCACAGTGGATAGAACTGGAGAATTATCATGTTATGTAAAATAAGCCCGACTCAGAAAGCTAAACATCAAATGGTTTCTCTCAGATGAGAAACCAAATAAATAAATGTAAGAGATGACGGAAACCTAGAAGGCAGAATTTTGGAGAGAGGGGAGGAAGTTTAGGGGAAAGAGGGTAATGGGGTGAAAATAATCAAAATATGCTACATCTATGTAGCAATATGCCTAAAAGAATCTCATTACTTTGTATCACTAATATGTACCAGTATTATAATTATTAGGGAAATTCTCATCAAAACCACAGCAAGATAGCTACCCTTCACACCCACGATAGCATAGCTATTATCAAGCGTCTCAAAGAGGTTGGGATGTATCCCACTGGTAGAGCAGACACCAAGCAACTTCAGAACCCTGGGTTGGAGCCCAAATACCCAATAAAAATGGAAACAAGCGTTGGTGGGGATTTCGCACACAGGGCAGGCACTCAGCAGGCTGGCAGTCACCCACGTGACTATCTCTCATCAACAGCCCTGATGCGTCATGCAGGATGCCTCCCCAGCCGTGGCGCAAAGCTCTTGCATTTCTCAGACACAGATGTAGCTCCGCTCGCCTAGTGCACCGGGTGATGAGCCATTCTCTAGGATGGCCAAGCCTCGGGGACCAGGGAAGACACCAGGCTCACCTTGGGCAGTGCCAGCTCCTGGTCCAGCCCCACGACGAGGTGACTCATGAAGTAGAGGCTCGCTCCAAACAGGGCCAGGAACAACAGCAGCTGGAGCAGGAACTGTGCGTGAGACCCCCCCTGCAACAGCCCCATCTGCTCCAGAGCCTGAGCCCAGCCAGGGCACCATAAGCAGCATCCCACCTTGGGCAGACTCCAGGGCACCCCCTGCACCCTCCACCCCGCTCTGCCCGCCCACCTAGGGGCTCACTCACCACAACACAGCGGGTAAAGCGATGCAGCAAGAAGGGGGCATATGTCTTGCGGAAGAAGCGGAGCAGGAGGCCCTCACTTTGATCTGAGGGGGGCACTTTCTGGGGGCCCAGGCAGCAGAGGATGTCGGGCCGGAGGGCCTGCAGGGAGGTAGATGCTCAGGGGACGCCCGGACCGGACCCCATGTCTGCCTAACCCCAGGCAGTGCCACCAGCCTCACATCCTGAGGATGAAAAGCTGTTTCCTTTGCTTTTTCCTGTTTTGGTTTTTTGAGCAGGGTCTCACTATGTAGTCCAGGTTGGCCTTGAACCTCGTTATGTCACTGCAACTAGACTCAAACCCATGTCGATCCTCTTGCCTCAGCTTCTGGAGTGCTGGGATCACAGAAGTAAGCCACCACATCCAGATATAGATAGATACAAATACAGATATAGACATGTATAAATACACAGTCTTGTGTCCTTCAGGATGTTTGAGCATATTTCCCAAAATTAGCAAAACCAAACTGTTTCTATGGAAGCTGGGGAGTGTGTAGCCCAAATACCCCCACCCCCCACATAACGCCCTGCTCCCATCCTACTCTCTGTCACCTCTCCTGGCCAAGGTGGGGACCCTGCCCAGACAGGTCCCTTTGTACCTCTTGCCTCTTGCTGTCCAAGGAAACTAAGGCCACGAAGGCAGTTATCTGCAGTAGGAAGTCGAGGAAGATTGCCAGGCCAGAGGTCAGGGCAAAGGTCCGCACGGCTGGCATGGGGGAAAGGGCCCCTGCAGAGAGGAAGCACTGTCAGGGGACCCTGGCGTCACAAGCAGTGTGCAGAGGGCAGGGGTCTGCTAGCACCTGCTCCCCCAGGAACTCCTGGCCCCTGATGCCAGCCCTGCAGGGCTGACCTGGGATGGGGGGACGGCTCACCCAGGAAGAAGCAGATGGTCTCTGAGAGGCTGCAGAGCAGCATGCTGGGGCCCACGCTGCCCAGGGCTCGGCCAATGTGGGCCTCTCGTCCCTCCCCAGGCATCCGCGGCATCCTCTGTGTGGGAGCAGCAGACAGGGGGTCTAGGATCCACCAAGGGCATTGTCTCTTGCACTGACCTTCCCACCCCACAGCCACCTTCTGCTTCCAAGGTGGGTTCAGAGACCCGCATGAGTGTCAAGCATCTCTGGAACCCTAAGTGCTCGCCAGCAGGGAGAGGCCACATGGACTCTGATTTTGGTTTTCTGTGGAATGCCACACAGCAGTGTAAAGACAGGAGGTGGCTCTAATGTGCTATCCCAGCGACGTTGTATGGGTCTAACACAAAGTTCCAGATAACACACGGGCCAGGTGTAATCCCAGCACTTAGGAGGCTGAGGCAGGAGGACAGCCATGAGTTCAAGGCCAGCCTGGGCTCCACAGTGGGTTCAAAACCAACCTGAACTGCATGGCAAGGCCTTGTCTCAAAAATACAAACACACACACACACACACACACACACACACACACACACACACACACACAATAAATGTGCCAACATGCTGTTTTCTAGAGGGGCAGTCCTGAGGGTTGGTACACAGAGGAGCAGGCTGATGCCCAGGAAATCAATGCGGGACCCTGATGTGGGAACCCTGGGGCCCCAGGTGGGGGCAGGAACCACCTCCCTTCTCACCTGGTACTCGAGGACAAGGATGAAGATGTTGTCGGCGCCCACCGCCAGCACCAGGAAAGGCACCACTTGGAGGATGACCAGGGAGGAGGGGACGCCCAGGTAGGAGTAGAAGCCCATGGCAGCCACAACTGATCCCACCACCACAGCCACCCCGCCCAGGCCCAGGGTGGCCTTGGACTCCACCTGCAATGTAGGTAGTAGGCACACCTCCCAGTCTCCAGACCGCCCACCCACCCGGGTCAGCCGGGAAGTGGGCAGTGGGCAGTGGGCAGGCACCCTGGGGGCCCACACATGTCAGAACCACCCACCCACTGCAGCAAGGAGCTTGTGTCTGCACCAAGCCCCTCTTCACAGCTAGCCCACCAGCAGCGCCGCACCCCAACAGCACGGGTCTGTCTGCTGTATGCACGGTCACCAGGCATTGTAAATGGCGGCTGTGCGTGTGGCCATGAGAGGCCATGTTAGGGGGTGGAAATAAAACTCTTTTCAACACAGAACACTTCCCAAAAATAGCACCCAGGGCTGGGGATATAGCTTAGCGGCACAGTGCCTGCCTGGTAAAAGCAAGGTCCTGAGTTCAATTCCCAGTACTACAAAAAAAAAAGAAATAGCACCCTCTGAGGGAGTCTCTTTGAAGGTGCTCTCCTTGCTGGGGTGAGGGGCCTGGGTGAAGGCTTTAGAAAATGTGCTGAGGTCTGAGGACATGGGCTCCTGCTCTCACCAGAACTCGGCCACATCTAGAGTAGCTGCCCAGGGCCAGGGAGATGTACACGAAGATGACCACGTAGCTGATAGCAAAGATGGGCAGGTCCTTGAGTGTTGTACGGTTGATCTCATCCTCCAGAGAGCGCTGCAAACACACAGACTAGCCTAGTGACCACAAAAGTGTCGGGGCTGGGTGGCCGGCTGGGGACCACGGCGAGGGTCCAAGAACACCTTATCTCAGTAGGCATTCGCCACCCAGGACCACACTGGATGGGGAAACTGGAACCCACCCGGGACCACCAGGGCGGCCACCACAAAGCCGGCACCCTGCAGCCCCTACCTCGGCCATGAAGGCCACCCGGAACACGCCGGCCGTCCTCTGCTGGAAGGCTTGCAGCTCCTGCACGAAGGCCTTCTCCCAGAGCTTGGCCTGAGCCAGCCGGGGGTCGTCCGCGGGGTAGTTGTTGAGGGAGAAGGTCATGATGAGGGCCTCTGCCTCGGAATAGTCCTTCCCTGGGGTGAGAGGTGCTCAGCCCCCTGGGGTGCAGCCCCGCCTCCCTCCCCTTCGCTCCCCTCCCGTTTGTCCCCACAACCCATGCAAATCATGCATTTACTCCCACGCCCCACCTCCCTGTCTTAGCGGAAGGCAAGACCTTTGGGCCCAGGCGCAAAAGCGGATGAGAAGCTGAGCGGGTGACAGACAGGAGTCAGGAGGGGGCATCCGCAGCCCCATAGCCAGGCCAGTTGGCGCTGCAGCAGGAACTCCCACACCACCCCGTGCCTGTTGCTGCCACCCCACATCCTTCCGCGGCCACCCTGCTTACCTCGGTACCCCCCGACGGCGAGGAAAGGGAAGACAGGGGCCCCGTAGTCCGCCATGCAGCTCAGGGCCAGGGCTGTGCCGTCTTTGAAGGTGAGGGGAGAGCTGGAGGGAGACCACAAAGGCGAGGGGCCTTTCCTGGCCCTGCCTCACTGCCGGGGCCTGCCCGTCCCAGGCGCACCTCGGAGGGGGGGACCTGCCTGCAGAGCGCCGGGCCCAGTGGCTCCCAACAGCTCTCTTCCAGCCATACCCTCAGCAGGCCCCAGTGCCCCAAGTGGAGGAGCTGCCCTGAGCGCCTTGTCTGTGCCAGGCGGGGGGCCTGCTGTGTCCTCACGCACAGCCGGACCTCTCAGGCCTGCCCTTATTTGCTTCCCAGAGGCATCACTAAAGCCCCGAGTCGGGATTCGAGCTGTAGTCTTGTGTCCTGGTTTCTGCTGCTCCTCGGCCTCCTCTGCCCACTCAGAGCCCCAATCCTCTGAGACAGGCAGGAGGCCCCTGCCGATCCCCCTTGTCCTGTGATGAGGAAGGCTGCAGGGCTCAGCCTGCAACAGTCACACCAAGTCGCCTCCCTTCCCTTCAGTCCCTTCCTTCCCTTCACTCCTCTCAGTCCCCTGACAAGGGCTGGGGCCAGCCCGCCTCAGTGTCCTCAGTTGCTGCATGGCTGTTCTCCAGGTGGTCATGATAGGACTGTCACCTCCCAGACTCCTGCTGCCCGCTACGGTGTCACTTCACCCCCGAGGTGGCAGAAGTCAGGCAGGGCTAGGGGCCCATTGTGAACACCCCTGACCCGCAGTAAGCCATGATGAGCATAGCTAATCCTCCTGGAGATTGCGGGGTGTCAGCCCCACTGTGTGAGTGGAGATACCACAGGAGCTCTGGGTAGCGTCTCCTTCACCACAGTGGGTTTGAATTTGAAACAAATTGAATTTGAACCAATTGACAGGCTCCTGTAGGAAAGCTTGGGTTTAGATCAATTTAGACCAATTGTTTACAGGCTCAAATTTGGACCAATCACAGCCTTGAATTTGGACCAATCATCGGGCTTGGATTTGAACCAATCACAGGCCTTCAGCTGTTATAAATAGCACTCTCCTCTCTTCTTGGGTTGGCTTTGAAGGGTTCTCTCTTGTACTTTGATACCTCTGTACTACAGCACAAATAAAATGTCCTCCCAGTGGTCCTGTAAATCTGCTCACGATGTATTTCTTAGGTAGCTGAGCTTGGAAGACTCTGTAAGTCTGCTCAGGACTTCTGAGTAATATGGACAGAACGGTTGCTTAAAAAGGAAACATAAACAGCAAGAGCCATTGCTACGGGAGCTCCAGAGCCCCACAGCCAGCATGAAGACTGGTGGTGTTCGACATCAGTGGCGACAGCCAAGACCAACAACCGCAGCACACACCCAGCGTCGAGAACTGGAGCTATAATGCTGAAGAGCATCAGCATTCAGAGCACCAGGCCTCAAGTAGAGCTGCACTTGCTGGTTTACGATTCCTAGCCTCTGAATCAAGCAAAAAAAAAAAAAAAAAGACCCTCACCTGATCAGCTACCTGGACAAAGCTCTCTATTTGCGTTTTTTGGCTCTGAGCAAGTGATTGTGTTGGCCACCAGCTCCTCCCGGGAGTTCCGGTTGCTCTGTGACCTTGAGCATTTCACTGTACCCTTCCAAGCCTCAGCTTCCCTGTCCATGAAATGGGCATAATCAGACCCCTCAAGAGTTGTGCACACACAAAATCAAACTAAGTTAACACGCCTGACCACAAATGCCTCCCCAGGGCGGCAAACAGCCCCTCCCTGAGCTGCCATTTCTGACAGCCAGACATTCTGGGCTCAGAGGCGTGGATAGAGGACAAGACGTCCATGTTGGGGACCACTGCTCTACACCCACCTCCGAGGCCTCAGCCACACGGCCTTCCCACTGCCCTCCCTTGGCCCAGCATCCTCTCTGGCCTCTAGAATGGACAGAGCCAGGGACCGAACTCCAACAGCACCAGGGCTTGGCTGAGACCTGCTCTGAGACACCTGGGAGGGGCCTGGGGCCCAAGGCCAGCTGCAGCCCTAGCCTGGCCTGAGGGCACTGCTTTCTGTTCACACCAAAACACTCCTGGGTCACCTACCAATGCACAGCAGCAAAAGAGGAGAAGCAGCGCAAAGACAAACATGAGCTGGAGTGGGGTGTGGTGGCACAAACCTATAATCCCAGCAGTCTGGGAGGCTGAGGCAGGAGGATCACAAATTGGAGCTCAGTCTGGACAACTTAGTGACTTAGCAAGAGCTTGTCTCATGAATGAATGAATCAGTAAAGGAATGGCTGAGGATGTAGCTCTGGGTTCAATCCCCAGTACTAAAAATGATGAGGAAGGATCAGTGCAAAGGCCCTGGGTTCAATCCCTAGTATAGTCAAATCAATCAATCAGTCAAGCTGAGCCCTTGGTAAGGAGCACGGCTGCTGCCCCCCTGCTCCTCCCCGGGCCCAGGGAAGACTCACTTGGCGCAGTAGAGAAAGTGGTCCCTCCAGTCCACCTTGGCAGTCTGGCCCGTCAGTGTCTGGTTGGCAGTGAGCAGCAGGAGCGTGCGGTTGTTCTGGAAGTACTGCAGGAGGCTGTTGACGCAGCAGTCAGAGAGGCTGGTGTTGTGCGGCTTGAGGGGTGCGTAGCAGATGTCCTGCAGGGAGACGTTGCGCTGCGCCTCGGGCGACCACACCTGCAGGTGCCGCAGCCTCTCCTGCAGGTCCAGCAGCTCCAGCAAGAGGTCCAGGCTCAATATCCCGCTGAAGTTCTTGGGCCCCAGCAGCAAGGAGTCATACCTGTAGCTGGACCGGTTCGGTGCCGTCAGGAAAACCTGGTTGGTTCGGAAGAAGGGGCCAAAGTGCTCATCGTGGAACTCCTTCTCCTGCCGGGGTTGGCTGTTGGGAGCCGACCACAATTCCATGGGGTCTGTGGTGAGTTCCACGAATGTCAGGCCCGATGCCAAAGCCACAACTACCACCAGGGACACTGCCAGGACGGTCAGGGGCCACGAGGCCACCTTTCTTCCCCAGCTGTCAAAGAACTGGCCAAGGATCATGTGTGGGGAGCGCCTGAGTTTCTCCGAAGGGCTGGGGGCCACGGGCGGGCCCCGGCTTTTGGCCTTCCTCCTCCTGCTGGAAATCACCCGGAGTCGGGCGAGGACGGTGGTGAGCAGCACAAAGACGGAGCAGAAGATGATGAGGAGGACCACCCAGCCTGGCAAGCGACCTATGTAGGAGAAGGGGCGCATGGCAGCGGGTGGGGCGATGACAGGGCAGGAGGCAGCACAGTCCTGGCAGGAGCAGGCCGCCGTGCCATTGCCCTGGGCCTCGTTACAGGCCACGATCATAGCGTCCAGTGGCTGCATCCCGTCTCTCAGGGCCTGGCCAGGGTCACAGAGGTGGAAGGCGATTTCCAGCGGGGCCAGGCCGTTCCCCGTGTCTCCCTGGAAGTTGAGCCAGCGCTGGGCGTTGCAAAGAGTGGAGCCGTACACACCGCACATGCTGCCCACGGCCAGCGAGGCGGCCGCGGGGATGCGCACTCGGCTGCAGGACTCGTAGGCCTGCTCCGCGAAGCTGCGCTGGTAGAAAGCCTCGTAGGCCACCACGGCCGGCGGCTCACTGGCTCCCCGAGGGAACACGCGGGTGACGTTGATGAAGAGGCTCTGGTCGGGGCTGCAGGTGTTCTGGCAGTGCAGGCTGGCGAAGTTGTCGGAGCAGGCCGGGCAGCGGGTGAGGAGGGCCTTGGTGATGCTCATGCTCATCTCCAGCGACATCAGCTGCTTGGCAGAGCAGCAGGCGTAGGTGGTGTCGGGGCCATTGTAGAGGCGGGGACAGACGCGCTGCAGGAGGGCCAGGTGGTCGCCCGTGATGAGGCGCGCCGGGGTGTTGGACAGGCAGGACACATTGGACAGCGACGTGAGGCCTCCGGACAGCTCCGGGTTGCTCCCGCACTCATCATAGAAGGTGCAGTAGCCAGCCTGGTGGATGGGCGTGTACAGCTCCCCCCGGGCCTGCAGATAGAGCAAGGTCACCAGCAGGCCGGGCACAGGGGACGCACAGGGTGTGGGGAAGGAGGAAGACCAGGCAGGGGTCTGGGGGCCTCCGGGAGGCCCGTGCTATGGTTGGGGTGCTTTCCTCCCGAGAGAAGGGCGCGACCCGACACAGCGCTTTAGGAAGTTCACGCTGAGCAGGGAAGGGGTGATGGGGAGGGAGGTGACCACGGGGCCCACATTGACCTGGGTCTCCTGGGTCTCCGCACCGGGGACCTGATCTGCAGGGGCATCAGGAGGTCCCCTGCCCCAACACACCTTCGGACCCAAACACTGTCACCCTCCTCCCAGCCCCAGGATGCTCCAGGGGTCTTGCCCGGGACCCCCACCGCACCTCTTGACTCAGTTCTTCCCTAGCCCCAGGCCAGGACCCAGCCCAGTAGCCACTCCTGACTCTCTGTCCCTCAACCACATGACCTGGAGACCCTTCGCTGGGACCCTCCTCTGGAGGGCCTGGGGCCCCCTCCACACGTCCCCCAGTGACCCCTCCCGGGCCCCAGGTGGCCTGCGTCCCCACTGAGGCAGTACACTCACGGAGCGCAGGAGCAGGGCCCAGAGCAGCCAGCTGCGCAGACCGGCAGCCATCCCGGGGCAGAGGAGAGCGCGGTAGGGACAGCAGGAGACAGCTGGGATTGGCTGTGGGGATGCACGTTAAGGGATCCTCCTCCCCCGGTGACAGCCCTGGTCAGGCAAGGTTGGAACCAATAGGGCTGAGTGCCACTGGTTAATGATCACCTGCTGTCATCCCTGCCTCCGGCTGGCCCCACTCACAGCCCCTCAGATGAGCCTCACTGTGACAGGGCCAGGGTCCTCACTCGCTGTCCAGTGCCTCTGAAGTCTGACAGGGGTTGAACCCCTCCTGACAAACAGACCCGAGGGGGCTGGGGATTTAGCTCAGCGGCAAAGCGCCTGCCTGGCAAGCGCAAGGTCGTGAGTTCGGTTCCCGGTACCAGAGAAAAACCAAAACCAAAAAAAAAAAAAAAAAAGAAAGAAACAGACCCCAAACACCCCTTCAGGAGCTGGCACTGGGACCAAGGTGCAGGTGGGATCAGGTACTGAGGGCTTTGGGCTTTGGCACTGGTGGTTTCGCGCGGTCCCAGCAGCCTGCGCCCCTTGGGTATAGACGCAGACTCCCACCCTGGCCCACCCCATCTAGGGCCCAGGGGCAGCTGAGAGCTCAGACACACCCTCTGCACTGTGATCCTTAGCAACCGTTGCTAATTAATATTAACAGTCAGATAACAAGGGGAGAACTAAGGTGGAGATACGCAGTCCCCTCCAAGCAGGAAGTGGAACAAACAGCCCATTCCAGGCCTGACAGCAGATAGAGACCTCAGATTCTCTCCTCTGCTCACTTCTTCCTCCTCCTCCCCTCTCCTCCCAATGCCAGCGCCAGTGGGACCTGGGTGGTGGTGTGCCTGCCCGGGCCCAGGTGCATGGTACACACTTCTGCGCTCCCCTGATAGGAATCTCCTGGCCCTCCCTGCGCTCCCACTATCTCGGGATAGGTAGGACCTTGGCCCTCATGCCAAGGCTCAGTCACTGATAATGCTGCAAGGCCGCTCGTATGGCCACCTGCGCGAGAAAGCTGCTGGGAGAGGCCTAGTGACTCGGAAGGCGGCCATCCAGGCCCCAGGCAGGCGACCCCAGGGGCTGAGGGGAGGCCCCGAGCCGTCCCGTGTGCAGGGATGACCCCAGCCCAGCCCCTCCAGGTCCTCCTCTGCCCCAGGATGGCACCCGTGAGGCGGGTGTCTGCCTATCTACGGCCTAGGTGTTGTCATCCGGCTCCCCCAGAAGCAGACTGAGAGGGTCCCAGTGCAAACAGCTTCTTTGGGAGGTGACCCCAGGTGGCAGCTGTGGGTAGGCAGGTAAAGCACCAGGGGACAGGAACAAGCCAACAACCAGGGTATGTACAAGACCAACTCCTGGCCTAGGGAGCCTGGCCAAGGAATAAGGATGTAGTCAATTTCTCCACCTCCGCTGGAGATTCCTAGAAGCTCCAGCACCAGCCACACACTGCCAGAACAACTCCTGGTCAGGAGCGCTCATGGCCGGAAGTCAGACACTTGAGCAGGAGCGCCAAGGTCAGGGAAGCTGCAGCCCTGGCACCCACCGCAGTCATTCCCATCCCAGCCCAGTGCCATGATGAGCAGCACCCCTCAAACACAGAGGAGAGTGGTACCTTTCCCCCAGGAGAAGATGAAAACTTTCACTCCCAGTCTGGCTGCCTGTGCCTGTGATACGTCACAGTCACGTGATACATGCACCCCAAATCGTTTCTTCTTACTTTTTTTTTTTTTTTTTGGCAGTCCTGGGGATTGAACCCAGGATCTTTGCACTGAGCTACATCCACAGGCCTTTTTATTTTTTATTTCGAGACAGAGTCTTGCTAAGCCATAAAATTGTCCAGGCTAGGCTCAATCAATCTCGCAGTCCTCCTGCCTCAGCCTCCTGAGTGCTGGGTTTACAGTGTGCAGCACCATGCCCAGCTCCCTTGACTTTTCATAAACACTCTCCACTGCCTTCGGTGCCCAGACCACACGTGTAGCGTGTGTGATGACGACCTGCAGCGCAATAACTCTTTCTCTCTCCTCACACTGACTGTGGGCCGGTCTCCAATTTTTCCCTGTTATTTTAAGTTTCTGGTTCGCTTCCTCATGGCCAATGGAGTTTTTTCCTTTTGGGATTTACTTCTTTAAAATAAATGTGCAGAGATGAGCTATCATGAGTCAGAACACACATTTACAATCCCTACGTGTGTGCAGCTCATCGTTTCTTCCCCCGGGCTAATCTAGGACTATCAAGCGGTTATCAGTCCAGGGTCGATAGCAGCCCAGGAGACAGACACACACAGTGACATCCCCAGGGCTGAAGCTCACCACACTCTTCCCTCGCCCTGTAGAATACCAGCTGCGAAATGATGCCTTATTTGGGGTTCACCTAGGGCGCTGCTGAGGACTGAACCCAGGGCTGGTGAATATTAACTGTGTGCTCTACACCCATTGTAGCCCC